AACAATCGGAAACTACTTCCATCTAGTTTATGTGATACATCCTAATCTACTGTTAATAGCACCACTATGAAACACAAATGTTATCTGTTCCACGTGGAACTACACCAAGAATTTCTAGACCGTAATTTTGAAGAAAGGGTAAGCTTCAGCCGATCCAAATTTGTTGTCTAAAATAATGTTTTCCGATGAAGCAGTAATGGTGAGTACAGGAAGTGCAAAACCAAAACACTTAATGTGTGATGTGGAATAAAACACTTTAAAGTGCTGGATCATATTTTTGGCCATGCTTAAACTATTTGCAGAATTACTAAAATATTGGAAAAACTATTATTAGGTTTAGGTATGTATTGCTATTGAAGAATTTCAAAACGAAATTTTTTATTTTTTATTTTAATTATATGTTTTATTCGTCGCACTTTTTTGAGCAATCCTATATGCATTGAAATAATTTTAAATTGTACATAATAACAACACTAAACTATACTAAATCATTGACTTACTGTATACATTTAATATTACTTTTTTTTTTAATTGGAAGCCCTAGATAGTCAATTAAATTCTTTAAGCTTATTTCAAGAATGTATAAAATGTCCTAGGTACTTTTTACATTAAAGCCGAAAACAGCCAAAAACAAAATCGTCACTTAGCCTCATCAGGGCGTCGCACCAACGCCCCATCTTATGTTTAATTATGACTGTTTCAGCATATCTATATTAAAAAATGTAAAAAAAAAATGTTCTCAATTATATTATTATTTATTATTTTTTGAAAATATATAAACATTAATTTATAGATTGGGAATATATATTTGAATAAATTCCCAGTTGATTCCCCCTTTTTAACTTATAAAGTCAGGATGCAAGTCATTAATATTACTTAATTAACTCCTAATTTGTTCTAGAATGTCATCTATATCGTCATTGCCGCTCAAATAAATTTTAATTTTTAAAATCTCTACAAAAGAATATCCAGGAATGTAAGATCACGTTTATTGGCTGGATTAAGCATTATTTAAATGTTCTGTCAGTGGAACAACATTATGGGAATGAGAGATATCTTTTTGCCATAATATTGGCCGCTATTTATACATATTTAATATATTTAAACATGCAAGCGACACTTTTGACATTAAATTCGAAACACATCAAAAAAAGGTTAGACTTCAGTATAGGTATATAAAATAATAAATAAAATATGTATAGAAGTTTTCGAGGAATTCAAAAACTGCTTTAATATATCTTAATATACAATTGTCCATCAAAATACAACTTCTATAGATAGCAATATAATATTTTAAAAGTATAATTGATTCAAAACTTTTGCCTTAGGGAATCACCCAAAAATAATTAATTATTCCAATCATTAAAAAAAGTATCTTACACTGAAGGTTTTTTTCCTCATTTCAGGAGTACTTCAAGTTAAATAATATCTTGATGTGTTTTAATTGCTTTAAATCAAGTTTTAGTGGTTAGTTTTATTTCATGTATATTGTAATAATTAATCTAAAAAAATATATAGCGAACGACAAATGAAGTGGGACTAACTAACCAGAACTAACCCAAGAAATTCTGTAGTTTTGACAGAAAAATTACAACATCGGTAAACAAATACCGAATTTATAACTAGTGATGCAAAGCGTCGTCCTTGGTCTATGCATCAGGGGTGTAGGATTTCCTTTAATAAATCATTTCTGTTATACAGAGCTTTTCTTTTAAAATCTCGTCTCGTTATACTTGTGTAAATGCAAGATAGTGAAAAATTTCTTTCTGTAGGGTCCTCTATGATGTTGGTCGAATTACTAGGCCGAAGAAAATAGTGAAAATTAGCGGCGTGCAAAAATATCCAGAGGAGTTGAGGTAACGATTCACTCAATGGCAATAAAGAACTTTACAAGTTTTTAGCCGAAAAATTAAAATGTTTCGCTGCCTTACATACACACATGGGATTAAAAAAAGATAATTCGACGCCGCTGGCTTATAGGCCAAGGATGACACGCAGTTATAGCTAGCAAAATTAGTGAAGTATTTGGGCGTTCCATTTAATGTGCAGTTCTGTATATCTAAACAAAATTTATCCTGTAAACTTTGCATTTGAAAATGTTTATTACAACTAACCAAAACATAGTTATTTTCTATTGTTATCCCGCAACAGTACTTTTCATTTTTTACCAATAAACTACCTAAATACTATTTACAAAACCGACGCAGGAATCTAAAAGATTTGTAAATAGTATTACTGTGGAAGTTTCATTGGAAAATTAACTACCTATATATCTATCAGTACGGAACACTAACTAGAAAAAGACAATTTACCAATACCGTGACCTTGACTCGTCGACCCACAATAACGAGCCGTATTATAAATTGAATAAAATTTAATGTGCATCGAATATTTACGCGCGAAGAGCGTACCCCAAGATAAAGTTTTAATCTAGAATCCAGACACTGTCGTAGAATGAAGAAAATCAAATTTAAACTTTTGCAGACAATTTCAATTCAATTACTTATTTCAAGTTACAGGACGTGTGGCCGTATACGGAAAATCAGTCCAATTGTTAAGACCAAACCATAGGGATTCTTTTTTTGAATAATGAAAAACGGACCGTCACGGCATATTATATCTATAAAATGTTATTTCGATGCTTTTGGTGATTTGCAATATTCATTTACTTATATATATTTTGTATCTTATATGCGTGCCCATTGCCTTTAAGCCTTTGATTTTGAAAAATAATGAGAGACGAAAAAGTGATAATTTTATTTGCTGGAATTCATATAGTGCAAAATTTAAGTTTAAAATATAAATATAGAGAGTATGCACTTTAGTTTTTACTTTTTTTTATTGGCTAACCGGACTAATTTTTGATGTCAAATATCGAGGAGGGTTATTAAGGATTTCTTTAAGAATAAACTGTCAACGAATCTTTCTTCAGGTTGATATAAAACCAAACTATACTAATTTCCATAAAGTTCACTTAACTATTACATCTGTAGAATGTTTATGGATCAATTTTGATAATTATTTTTTGCTGGATAGATCTTATACAATGAACTTCGGTTATAAAGCACACTCTAGGAACCAGAAAATGAGTACTCCATAAGCGGCAGTAAGCAATAAAAAAAACACAAAAAAAATGTGGATACGCACATATTTTTATTTTATGTAAAAATAGAAAACTAATAAACACTAATATAGGTACTAAAACACGAAAGAAACTATTCTATATCTATATAAGTAATAATACCATTTTTTCTATTATGTTCTCGAATTAGGAAAACCAATAGTGAACCCAATTCATTCAATAAAAATGACATAACAGGGAAATGGGTTAGTTTTTAACCCTATGAGGGCTTGCCAAAAAAAGTTTCTGCTTTGGCTCGTGCCTATAACAAAATCAGCCCATATGCATGAAAAATGCGTCTTTTTAACCTATTGTAGTACACACACTTCAGCGATACATCATATTTTCTTTGGCCTCCCCCATATAATTTAGGCTTTTTTAGATGTGAAAGTTTCCTTGCGGGTGAGCACCTACTGTTCGATAATCTGGACAGTTCTCTAATTCGGACACACCCCTGTGCATTTAATTGTCCGGATCAAAGGTTGTACTGTACTAACTAGTTCCGTAGTTCCATGTAAAATTATTTATCGGTTTGATGATGATCAACGTATTATAATAATAATAATTTTTATTTAAATCAATAACGATGGACAATTTAACAACTTATTGAATGCAAACATGAAATGAATATTAATATAAAAAAACATTTATATTCAAGGTATACTAAGTTAAAAACTTGACAGCCATCTTTGACCATAACGCAGATTAATTTAACTATGTTTCCCATCTCTTATATAATATGAAAAAAAAAAAACAATATTCTACAAAAAAAAAACGATTTTATATAGTTACAATACAATAAATAGCCACTTAGAAATTTAAGTTACAATTTAGCATCAATAAGCCACTTAGTCAATTTTTTTAAATGATTTTAATTTTATTTTATTTTTCAGTTCTAGAGGTAGTGCATTACAAATTTTTTGACCAGTATAAAAATATTCTTTTTTGTGCAACAGACAAACGCATTTTTTGTAAAGCTAAATTTTCTCCAACTTTAAAGCGTGAGTTTTTGAATTAACCAGTAAGTTATTTTTTATTAAGAACAAAATGTATAATATAATATTTTTATGTGAAGTATTTGAAATTGAGTAAAAATTAAGTCAGATGGATATCGCAGATTTAACTTAAACACAATTTTCAAAATTCTTTTTGTATTACGTAAAGGGGCTGAAGAGTTGTGTGATAGGCACCACCGCAACTAATTATTACATAAGATAAGACCAGCAACTGTTTCTAAATAATAGTTTTACAGCAAGTTTATTGTAGTGTGTTTTATCTAAGTTGATTATTAGTAAATTATTGTCAAGCCACTGTGAAATAAGTTGCAAGTCCGAACTAATGCGGTTCTCGACTTCGTTCCAATTGTTCATCAAACAAAACTGTATCATCAGCAAAAGACATGATTTTACCTGAAACATCAACAGTAAGTAGTTGATTTATGTATATAAGGAAAAATATGGGTCCTAGGACTGCACCCTCTGGAATTCCATAGGTTACAGTTCTCAGCTTACTGAAACAGTTACTAATCTTTATTATTTGTTGTCGATTTTCAGGTAACTTTCAATTAGCAAATGAGCAGGTCCTCGTGTACCCGCTAAATATAGTTTAGTCAAAAGCCGCGAGTGGCTTACAGTATCGAATGCTTCTGCTAAGTCAATGAACACTGCAGCACATGGTCTTCAATTATTTAAGCCAATAGCATAGCAATGGCATCATGATATATTTATTTTTCTACATACATTGGATAATTTTTTTTTATCAAATAGAATTTAGACATAGGATATCTCCTATAATCGATATCAGACCTTATCTTTCGCGAAGTTGCCTTTGTCAATCTAGTTTGGTTTAATTGCCTTTTGTGCATCGCACTTCGCCTTACCTAACGGTATCCGAGGACCGAGAAGAAAAAACGGCACCGGCGAAAACTCGAAAACTTCCGCCGCGCAGGACGCGCCGGTTCTCAACGAGCAACACAAAAGCTCGGCGTAATTCGTTAAAAGTCACGCCCGTACCTTCGCATTCATTATGATCGACTGCAGCTGCACGTCGAACCGAATCTCTCACGGGCACACGAACCGTCGTTAAATCCCAAACGTAATAAACACACGCGCGTCTCAACACGACTACTTAAGTCGCAAAAGTTCCGTCGAAGCTTTTCTCGCGGGGGCGGGCTTGTATGTAGAAACTACGAAAATTCTGCGATGAAAAAACCGCCTGAATTGGCGACTTCGCGTCGAATGACGACGCCGTCACAACTAGGTGATCCTTATCGGTCCCACCTTTATTAACGACTCTGTTTCTACCGCGGTTTGGTGACAATACCACTAATATTCAACGACGTGTTTCGCCATAACGTGCTTTTATGATAGCAAAGTGAACAGAGAGCGGTTATTTTTTTTTGACAGACTTAGGGCATCTCTAATGAAACTCATACTCTGCGGTGTACAGGGTGGGCAATATAACGAAACTCTATACCTTATCTCAGAATATACAGGGTGTACGAAATAATCTTAAATACAAAAGTCATCTGGTTCGAAACGAAGTTTTATTTTATCACATTTGTGCATATACAGGGCACTCGGTGTTGCTTTGGTAAACACAACTTAATTTTTTGTAATTTTCCTAAAAGGAAATCTTTATTTTTTAATTTGGGTTTAATACCTTGTCGACAAGAACCTACTTTAATAGAATTTCTATATTTTGATGACTAATAATACAAGTTGTTCAAAAATTAAGATTAACTAATATATTAAGAAAACTTCCAAAAATAATTATTTTTATGGGAACCCCCAATAAAAATAAAGGTAAGTTTGTATAAGGTTTTCGAAAGACTGACAAATTAATATTCTTATATGACGATTTTTCTGCGGGTTTCAAGCTTTGTTATACTTGACAACGAAGCCATGATAAACAAAAAAGCAGAAAATGTCACAGGCTCTCGGTAAAATGTAATTTCGTCGTTGTTATTTTATTACTGCCAAAAATATGGCTCCATACACTCTGGAAGAGCATTTACAGTTATATGAGTCCTTATTCGCAACAATAAATGTCCAGCTTTGACTCTTCGGGAGTACCGGCAGTTATATCAAGCAAAAAGATTACCCACTAAACAGATTTTTGGTTAAATGGTTCGGTCATAAGAAACTCCAGGACGAAAACGAGAACTGCCCTTACTGAAGAAAAACAATTAAATATTCTACTGTTTTTTGCGGAGAGCGAAGAAAGTTCCCAAAGGCAAGCCTCGCGTGACATTCTAGAAGAAAAAGCTTTGAAAGTAAATAATTATTTTCCATTTAAATTCCTCCCTGTTCAGTTATTAACAGCTGACAACAACAGTTTGCGTTCTAGTAATGGACCGTTATTTTGAATCCAATATATCTGAAAAAGTATTTTGTGTATGAAGCTATTTTTGATATGGGCGGTATTTTTAATAGAAAAAATACCCACTACTGGTCTAGTAGTAACAAACACCATGTTAAATCTTTCAACAAGGTAGTGCTCTGTATCATACGTCAAGACCTGTTATTAACTGGCTGAACCACCGATTCCCAACTTCGATAGGTCGACACGGAACAATGCCTTGGCCAGCTTGTAGCTCTGATTTGACGCCTTTTGGATTCTTTCTATGGAGAAACCTCAAAAATAAAGTTTATCAAAATCGGACTGAAAATAGGGAGATATCAACCGATCTAACATGGTAAGTGATGCTATAAACAAAATGGGAACTATATATACGACGTTTTTGGCGGTTCATGGAAGACATGTTGAAAATCTATTATAATACTTTTTGTTCCAATCCACCATTATTTTTAGTTGTTAATAAAAAAAAGGCTAAAAATGGTTGTATTACAATTTTTTTAACCAAAAATTTGGGGTAGTTTACAAAATTAGGTCCAAAAATTGGAATATGATTGATTGATTTTAAACGCTATCATAGCGAGCAAAGAATAGATTACCACAGCTTGAAACCGGCAACAAAATCGTCATATAAGTATATTAATTTGTCAATCTTTCGAAAACTAAACATGGACAACCTTAGACCAACTTAGCTTTATTTTTACTGACAAATAAGATATAATTATGAAATTTTACATACAAATTACATTGAAAAAAAAATGGTTGTTGGAAGTTTTCTTAGATAAATACTAAAATTTTACTTTTTCAACACCCTGTATTATAAGTTATCGGAATATTATAAAAATTATATTACCGTGTATATGCAAAAATATAATAAAATAAAACTTCGTGTCAAACCAGATGACTTTTGTATTAAAGATTTTTCGTACACCCTGTATATTGTGAGATGAGGCATAGGGTTACGTTGTATTGGCCACCCTGTACCTCAGGAAAGTTTACTCGGTCCGTTATTGATTATAGTATTTATGAATTGTGTTTTCTTCTTTCCCCATACTTTCCCTTTTAAGGATGACGCAGTTTCTACCCTTTCTGTATCATTATCTGAGCAGCTTAGCATTGCAACCAAGACAATCGTTGAGTAAATGAAACATTATGCAGAATTTAACAAATTGATACTAAATGAACGTAAAACTGAGGTGATTGAAATAAATGTATATTAGTACGCTTCAATGAAAGCACAATCCAACAAAGAGGTGTAAAATTCACCGGAGTTTATGCAGAGTAGAAAAAAAACTTTCTGTTTGTCATCAGGTTTCTTTCTTTGTCTTAACTACGACGCTTTGATTTGTTGGGGAGGAGGTTCCCCACCTGCGGAGGAAGTTTTTAGGATGCAGAAACGCCTTTTAGGGACTATACTGATTAAGCCGTGGAATTTTTTATTTTGAGACAACACTCTTTATCGAAACATCCTAGTATATACATACTGAATTATGCCACTTAAGTAAAAATCAACTCTAATCTTTGTATGCTCTCAAGAAACTCAGATATTCAGACCGAATCTTGACATACAAATACCTAAACGCCAATTCTCTCACATCAAATAGTCCCTGCAAAAATTTATAATAATTTATATCGAACTGAAGCTTACCTTTATAACTAATGTAGTCTTTATGAAATAAATACTACTTGTTTTAGTACATTTAATAGATCGATCTAAACATTACATGCACGGCGAAGAGTTGTACTGTTACATTCAAAGCTTTTTAATAACTGAATGACCCAAGCCTAACTTTATCCTTTCGTAGACCTCTAAAAGTAATATAAAACTAATAGTGTTTACAATATGAGAACATATGAGGGGTTGAGTCCCCGATAAAGGACGCCGACGGTATCGTTCTGTGTGAATGACGCGACGGCACGTTGCTAAGATGATAAAAGGCTGCCGACGGCACTAAGGGGCGGAGAAAATGCAAAATGCATTCATTATTCACCTGTTTTGTACAAAACATGCATTTTCTACAATATTAAAGAATTTATAAAAAATAAAAACCCTGTCCGATACGGCACGTGTTTTTTAGTTTATTAAATTACAACCCACCCTTTACCGCTTTCTTATACAGTGCCCACGATGATGGGACTCCCTTTTTATTTTTTGTACCTTTGGATATAGCACGGTGAAATTTGGCATGCACGTATATAATTATAATACAGGCAAACAATATCTCAAAATGAGAAAATGATAGCAGGGCGCCATTTTAAGTTTTTTTTTAAATCATCAGTTTTTGCAAAACAGTGAAATGTATGCCTGCAAATGTATTACTCTTCTACTACTCAATAAAAAAATATACAGCTTCATCATTTTATCACTTTTGCACTTTGACAATAATGAAGTCCGTCAATAAACTCGTTTCTAACATTATGCATTAACATTATGTCTGTCAGATCTTCAACTGAATTTGGTTTTGTAACACAAATTTCACTTTTTAGATATCCCAACGAAAAAAGTCTAGCGATGTTAGATCTGGCGACTGAGCTGACCATTCCATGGGGCCTTGTCTTCCAATCCACCTGTTAGGAAAAGTAACATTTAACCATTCGCTAACAGGTCACGAATACTGTGGTGACGCACCGTCCTGCTGAAAAACTATGTCTTTTTGAAATTCAGTTCGGTTGTTTGCCACAATTGTTTTACCTAGTGTATGGATTAACTTCATTTCGTATCATATAACGTACACCAGTAAGATTAAAATTGATAAATATTGGACCAACAATATGATTACCAAGTCAACCCGCTCAAGCATTTATTTTCTGCGGAAATTATGGGTGATAATTTCGGAAAACTTGTGAATTTTCACGAAAATATACGTACTGGGCATACTTTGAAGCCAGAATAATTGTTTCACATATAATTTCACAGATTTGCATCCGTCTGTTCGGATCGTCTTCTGACAGTTGGCTGACGTACTAAATTTTGTAGGAGTGAAACGTTTGTTTTCTAATGTACGTTACTACAGTTATTGTAGATTCTACATTCCTCAGCGATATTTTCGGTGGAATTCTGCGGATTGTTGACAAGGATAGCGATAATCTCAACTTATTTCTTTTCTGGTTTTCTGCCGGAACTTTTTTTTGTTATTAACAATGCCACTAGTAAAAAATTCGTTTTGCAGTATTTCAAATATTGCCGTGTGATGTGATTTACGGGATATCTTTCATTAAAAATTCTAACTGCTAAATGTAAATTGTGGTTGGAGTCACCATAAATCACAACAGCCTCAGCTTTTTGCTCGAATTCCCGTGCACAAACTATTTGGAAAAACAAAAAAATTGATAGGTATTGATAAGTATTTAACTTACTAATAACATAACGAACTTAAAACTACCTATAGAATGTCGATTAAATACTAAATAAAACGAATATGAAAAACAAATATTTAAGAAAACAGTTTAAATGAACTTGACACACTAACAAAACATTTTTTGTCTCGCAGAAACTGACGAATCAAATATTGTCGAAATTAGCATGCGAATAGAACGTGCTAAGACCTTAAAAAAATGCTTAAAATGGCGCCCTGCTCTCACTTTGACATTTTGAGATATTGTCTCGGGAGAGCTTGCAACTCCTAGAGAGCGCGTCCCCAGGTGGCGGATAGGGGAAGGCCTCCCAGATATGGGTGGTTGAAGGGAAATCAAATACCTCCCGCGGAGCAACAAGCACCACCGCAGCGTCGGACTCACAATGGGCGGCTGCAAACAGCGACGGTTCCCAGAATGGGCGGCTGAAGAAAAAGGCCCTCCAAATGGGGGTTATGGCGTCAGGTTTAAGCTCCCTAGCACATGTAAAAATATAAAGGTCAAATAGACTAGAAGCAGGATGAAAAACCACGGAATTTTTCCCCGGGTGGTAATCCACACCTCCAATGGACAGAAGAGGG